TGGTGACTCTACCAGGACATAAGATGGGTGAATCTGGGGACACTACCAGGATATAACATGGGTGAAACTGGTGACACTACCAGGATATAAGATGGGTGGAACTGGTGACACTACCAGGGTATAAGATGGGTGAAACTGGTGACTCTACCAGGACATAAGATGGGTGAATCTGGGGACACTACCAGGATATAAGATGGGTGAAACTGGTGACTCTACCAGGACATAAGGTGGGTGAAACTGGTGACACTACCAGGGTATAAGATGGGTGAATCTGGGGACACTACCAGGATATAAGATGGGTGAATCTGGGGACACTACCAGGATATAAGATGGGTGAAACTGGGGACACTACCAGGATATAAGATGGGTGAAACTGGTGACTCTACCAGGACATAAGATGGGTGAAACTGGTGACACTACCAGGGTATAAGATGGGTGAATCTGGGGACACTACCAGGATATAAGATGGGTGAAACTGGTGACTCTACCAGGACATAAGATGGGTGAAACTGGTGACACTACCAGGACATAAGATGGGTGAAACTGGTGACACTACCAGGGTATAAGATGGGTGAAACTGGTGACACTACCAGGGTATAAGATGGGTGAATCTGGGGACACTACCAGGGTATAAGATGGGTGAATCTGGGGACACTACCAGGGTATAAGATGGGTGAATCTGGGGACACTACCAGGATATAAGATGGGTGAATCTGGGGACACTACCAGGATATAAGATGGGTGAATCTGGTGACTCTACCAGGACATAAGATGGGTGAAACTGGTGACACTACCAGGACATAAGATGGGTGAAACTGGTGACACTACCAGGGTATAAGATGGGTGAAACTGGTGACACTACCAGGGTATAAGATGGGTGAATCTGGGGACACTACCAGGGTATAAGATGGGTGAATCTGGGGACACTACCAGGATATAAGATGGGTGAATCTGGGGACACTACCAGGATATAAGATGGGTGAATCTGGTGACTCTACCAGGACATAAGATGGGTGAAACTGGTGACACTGCCTGGACATAAGATGGGTGGAACTGGTGACTCTACCAGGACATAAGATGGGTGAAACTGGTGACACTACCAGGACATAAGATGGGTGAAACTGGTGACACTACCAGGGTATAAGATGGGTGAAACTGGTGACACTACCAGGGTATAAGATGGGTGAATCTGGGGACACTACCAGGATATAAGATGGGTGAATCTGGGGACACTACCAGGGTATAAGATGGGTGAATCTGGGGACACTACCAGGATATAAGATGGGTGAATCTGGGGACACTACCAGGATATAAGATGGGTGAATCTGGTGACTCTACCAGGACATAAGATGGGTGAAACTGGTGACACTACCTGGACATAAGATGGGTGGAACTGGTGACACTACCAGGATATAAGATGGGTGAATCTGGTGACACTACCAGGATATAAGATGGGTGAAACTGGTGACACTACCAGGATATAAGATGGGTGGAACTGGTGACACTACCAGGATATAAGATGGGTGAATCTGGTGACACTACCAGGATATAAGATGGGTGAATCTGGTGACTCTACCAGGACATAAGATGGGTGAATCTGGTGACATTAGTTGGACATAAGATGGGTGAATCTGGTGACTCTACCCGAATATAAGATGGGTGAATCTGGTGACTCTTCCAGGACATAAGATGGGTGAATCTGGTGACACTACCAGGACATAAGATGGGTGAATCTGGTGACACTACCAGGACATAAGATGGGTGAATCTGGTGACTCTATCAGGACATAAGATGGGTGAATCTGGTGACACTACCTGGACATAAGATGGGTGAATCTGGTGACACTACCTAGACATCAGATTGGTGAATCTGGTCACACTACCAGGACATAAGATGGGTGAATCTGGTCACACTACCAGGATATAAGATGGGTGAATTTAGGGACACTACCAGGATATAAGATTGGTGAATCTGGTGACACTATCAGGACATAACATGGGTGAATCTGGTGACACTACCAGGACATAAGATGGGTGAATCTGGTGACACTATCAGGACATAACATGGGTGAATCTGGTGACACTACCAGGACATAAGATGGGTGAATCTGGTGATACTACCCGGACATAAGATGAGTGAATCTGGTGACATCACCAGGACATAAGATTGGTGAATATCGGGACACTACCTGGACATAAGATGGGTGAAACTGGTGACACTACCAGGGTATAAGATGGGTGAATCTGGTGACAATATGAGGACATAAGATGGGTGAATATGGGGACACTACCAGGATATAATATGGGTGAATCTGGGGACACTACCTGGACATAAGATGGGTGAATCTGGTGACTGTACCCAGACATAAGATGTGTGAATCTGGTGACACTATCAGGATATAAGATTGGTGAATCTGGTGACACTATGAGGACATAAGATGGGTGAATCTGGTGACACCATCAGGATATAAGATGGGTGAATCTGGTGACACTACCTAGACATAAGATGGGTGAATCTGGTGGCACTACCTAGACATAAGATGGGTGAATCTGGTGACTCTACAAGGACAAAAGATGGGTGAATATGGGGACACTACCAGGATATAATATGGGTGAATCTGGTGACTCTACCAGGACATAAGATGGGTGAATCTGGTGACACTATGAGGACATAAGATGGGTGAATCTGGTGACACTATGAGGACATAAGATGGGTGAATCTGGTGACACTACCAGGATATAAGATGGGTGAATCTGGTGACACTACCAGGACATAAGATGGGTGAATCTGGTGACACTACCAGGATATAAGATGGGTGAATCTGGTGACACTACCAGGACATAAGATGGGTGAATCTGGGGACAATACCTGGACATAAGATGGGTGAATCTGGTGACGTTACCAGGACATAAGATGGGTGAATCTGGGGACACTACCAGGACATAAGATGGGTGAATCTGGTGACACTACCTAGACATAAGATGGGTGAATATGGGGACACTACAAGGATATAAGATGGGTGAATCTGGGGACACTACAAGGATATAAGATGGGTGAATCTTGTGACACTACCTAGACATAAGATGGGTGAACCTGGGGACACTACCTAGACATAAGATGGGTGAATCAGGTGACACTACCAGGACATAAGATGGGTGAATCTGGTGACACTACCAGGATATAAGATGTGTGAATCTGGTGACACTACCAGGATATAAGATGGGTGAATATGGGGACACGCGTCCTGCAATCTGAAAATAGCTGCATACATTGACTTAAACAATATGGGGCAACTCCTTTCTCCCCTTTGTCCGACCCCCATCCCCTGACTCCCAGAACCCTCCCTCATCCCCCATCTCCCAGACCCCTCCCCACCCCATTCCATATGCACGAGTGCAGATTTAATGCTTCAGTCGTTTCTCACCAGGTAAGTATTTACTGTGGACGTCAAGTTCTTGTGTTACCTCCGGTAGGTGGAGCTGTGCTCAGGATTTACATTTTCCAGTTGTATTTTATTACCAGAAGAAGACTAGATGATACAAGTAGGGCCAGGGTCGTCCGTCTGCCACACTCACTTGAAGCATAACCCGGACAGACACATTGAATGTTGCTGTTAGTGGTGACAAATGGCTTGCGATGGAAACATTTACTCACTCATGTTCAATGAAGTATACAGTTATATTTTTGCTAAGTCACACTCGCATATCTCGGAACGGTTTGCCAAACGAAGGCGAAAATGAGAAAAGAGTGTTACTTGTCATCTCGAACACATAGGAAAAAGAGGTTAAAGTAGTTTCTTTACAAACTGAACACCTGGCAAAAAGTAGTAAAAGCATTCCCTTGACACACCGAACACCTGTGAAATTGTGCTTAAGGTGTCCTCTTGATAGTCCGAACACCTGTGAAATAGTGCTTAAAGTGTCCTCGTGATAGTCCGAACACCTGTGCTCATCGCTTATTAATTAATGTTGGTTTTCCCGACTGGATGGAAGGACATCGTCAGTAAACAAGGGAATGAAGCAAATCAACGTCAACCAGGGCAGATCGAACCAAATACATCTGTGATGACGTTTCAGATATTAGAATTGTTTTTCAGACTAGCTGTGTTTTTTATAAATGAGTTGAAAGAATCTGTTCACAGACAAGGCTAGCTTGCGCTGCAGTAAGCCCGAGTCACAGGTGAAAGGGTAAACAGATCCAGTCTGACCACTTGTATAACGTTGTACATTAATCATACGTGTAACTTCTTTTCTGTTTTCGGAGTTCGCTGATCATTCTGTAGAAAGTAATTCATCTTAATTAATTTTAAGAACCATAGTCTATGATTATGAGGTATTTCTAAATATTCCAAACATGTGATAATTTCTGCTAAAAAACCGTTACACATCGCGGCATCCAGTCATTTCAAAGAATATATTCGTAATAAATTCCGCAATTAACGTATGTTTATTCAAACCGATTTGCAGTTGGATGTGAACGTATTTATTCATGAAGAATATAGGTATTTAACTGTGTGTTCAATGACGCCTTGAAGTTATCCTTCTTTGTCATGTGTATTTAAAACAATTCATACATGTAAGAGAATAAACTGCTTTACTGGTAGCATGGCAGGATTCAGTGCCGGGAATATTGCAAGTGTGAGAGCTTGTCAAGCCGTTGTCTTGAACAATGTTTTCAACACCCCTCGCCCGTCTTCTAATCCCGCAAGGGCCTTGTCCGCCTTGTCCTTTGTGTAGACAGCCAGTGCGATTGTCCACATTTTCACCTGAGGCGAAACAAGAGCAGCACAATTAGTGTGAAGAAACGCAACAACAACAACGGCCAGTACTAGCGGAAAGGTCGCAATCGGCTTTCGTTATGGCGAAACATTCTTCTAAATAATCTCTTCTACACTTTACACTGGAGATCACTCACTACAGGCTGAACTTCCGTCAGTCAAGCGAGGAGCAAGTGTCAGCCAATCAAATCTCGTTGACGAACCCATGTGACACTGTGAATAAACATCCTATGTAAGGCAGCTATATTTAGTACACAGGTAGCTGTGACTTAGAGAGGTAAAATGACGGCCATAAGGAGAGGGATAGTTGACGACGCGGGGACATAAATGTTTGTCAGACGAGTGAGAAGTCATCAAGATATATATATCCCTTCATTGGGACAGTGATCAGTGTTAGAGAGGCTGATCTCGGAATACCGCGAGACGGTAACAAGTGGGACTGACGACATTGTGAGCGGTTCATTGATCAGCGACCAGCCCGACATACCTGGGCGAGATGTCGTGTGAGTAAGCGGCGAGATTGGAGGTATTTATCAAGTATACAGGCGATCGAACGGACTCATGATGAGTATTTTCGGTTGGAGGAAGAGTTTGACGATCACGGAGTCGGACCCGACTTACAAGGTACGATACTTGGGCAATGTTCAAACGGCCATGATGAAAGGCGACGGTTGTGTGGACAAGCCTGTGTCAATAATCTGGAACAACTACATGCGGAGTGCTCACCCCGGCCTGGAGATGAAGCTGGTCGTCACAGGCTCCGGACTCAAGGCCTACACCAAGGAACAAGGATTAACTGAATACAGGGCCCATCGGATCTCGTATTGTATCGCCCACCCTCAGTACCCGAGGGTGTTTGTCTGGGTATACAGGCACGAGGGGAAGAAGATGAAGATGGAACTCAGGTGTCATGCTGTGTTGTGTAAAACTGAACTGAAGGCGAAATCTATGGCCCTTCAGCTTCACGAAAAACTGTCCTTCGCCCTGAAAGAGTTCCAGAGGGATAAAGTTCGAAAACAGAACTCCCGACTTGTGTTGCAAAGAACCAATTCTCTACCCAAGGCCGGCTCTGTTCTTCCTCTAAGGAAACAGATGTTGAGCACGGCTACAAACTTTAAGCCTCCCGTGAGTAAGTCAACCACCGCTCCCAAACTTGGCGCTATAACGGAGGACTTCGAGGAGTGTGAACACGAGGAGTTTTGTGTGTGTGAGGACTTAGGGGAGTGTGATGAAAACGACAACTTGGAGAGTGCGAGTGAGATGGTGGCAGCGCTGACACTCCACTCCGACACATCCTCTCTCCATACTCTCAACCCCGAGTGCCTCACAGACCGCATCATTGACGTCGAGATCGGCAACGACATCGACGAACTTCGTCAGAATGAGGAAATTAAATTATGTCACGGAAACACAGACTCGGATGAAGAGAGTGCGGAATCTGGGTTCCACGACCAGGATCAGGACCCGAGGGAGGGGTTGGGGGGACTTGTAGAGGAGGGGGAAGGGAGCGTCTGTGAGCTCCCATGTGGGGACACGCCGGAAGACGAAGGGGATAACACCAAGTTATAGTGGACATAGAGGTAAGCAATCCGGACTTCTATCTTGTGATCCTTCTGAACGAACCAATGTCACATCTGAGATATGTCGCCATACAATACATCAATGCGCACTGGTTATATGACGGCTAGTTGCACGGACGTTCCATGAAGGTTGCACGATCGTTCTCTTGAGGTTGCATGATCGCTATATGGATGTTTCATGATCGCTGTGGAAGTTGCACGATCATAACATTGAACGGAATGTTCACGTACTATATAGCCGCATTTGTGAATGGATGCTCATAGTGTTGACCACTGATGTGAAACGACGACGGTGATGGTGACGTTGTTTCGCGTCAACCTGCCCCAGATGCAGGTCTTCCAGTGACTTACGAGAGACAGTGATTGATATAGTATGTGTACCCCAGCTCCACACCCTTCCACACCCATCTACACCCCCGTGTACCTTGTGTGACTTGTGATTTCATTTGACGATGTGGCAGGTGCTTGTGCTGTCAATCACTGACTCGATGACGACGACTGTGATGCAGGTGGTGTGTTGCCGACTGTGATGCAGATGGTGTGTTGCCTACTGTGACGTACGGAAACTTACACTTACTTCTGCCTTGATACATTGGTCTTTACTAATCAAATAATATCGCCATGGGCTGCATGGAAGTGTACCACATAAAGCTACATGCGCCATTTAATTGTATATGTAAATAAACATGTCGAGTATCATTGTATGCTGCTTGTAGTATGTTGATAACATTTGTGTTTTAAGTATATAATCCTGTGTAAGCAGGTCATTGTATTATTCCCGTGCGTGTAAACACTAGTCTGGTTTCGACACAGCAACTATTTCCTTGTCACCAGGCAGTGCTGCAAGGTAGTCCCGTGTGTAGTGTTAAACATGAAGGACTGTGGACGTCAGCTGAGGTAGTTACTCATACTTATATAGTATACGCCCGCTCGGTCGTGAATCATATCAATACGTTCTTACTGCGTGTGTTGTGTGGCTGTCAAATAGACGGGGATTTCCCTTATGCGCTGTCATTGCTACAAGGTATTTATCTACTTGCAGCAGTGATCTTCCTCGACACTTCCTCGAGAGGACATTGTGTTGGACTGCCTCTTTGCAGTTAGAGTGGTATTTCCTCTTACGTGAGCAGATACCCCTGATTTTAGAGCGATTCGGAAGATAGATTTACCGTTAGTTAGGAGTCTAAGTGTTGTCAAACAGCTGCCATTTGGGGGATGTGAAGAGAAAGCGTCCTGGTACACCTGTACCTGAAACACATGTTGACTGACAATAATGCAGGAGCTAGGTTGTACACCTATACCTGAAACACGTGTTGACTGACGGTAATGCAGGAGCTAGGTTGTACACCTGTACCTGAAACACGTGTTGACTGACAATAATGCAGGAGCTAGGTTGTACACCTGTACCTGAAACACGTGTTGACTGGCGATAATGCAGGAGCTAGGTTGTACACCTGTACCTGAAACACGTGTTGACTGGCGATAATGCAGGAGCTAGGTTGTACACCTGTACCTGAAACACGTGTTGACTGGCGATAATGCAGGAGCTAGGTTGTCACAGCTACTTCTGTGTTAATAGAATGACACAGATTTACCTGGATGATACTCAAGATGTGACAATTCCATCTCGTCACGTATCATTGCCATGTCACGACGCACACTGTGACCCACTTTGGTGTGTCTGACTGAGGAGTGAAATATATCATTCATCATTTGAATCAGAGAACTTATTGTTGCAGCTTTACTGTTGTTCATAGTCTTTGATGTCAGACATATTTCCTGAATGGGACATGTGTCAGGCTTTCATGTACGGCGTTTCTTATCTCAACTATGTATCGTATCACGCCCTTATAATACATATATATTTACACGCAGCCTTACAATCCATATATATTTACACACAGCCTTACAATCCATATATATTTACACACAGCCTTACAATCCAGATATATTTCCACACAACATTACAATCCAGATATATTTACACACAACCTTACAATCCATATACATTTACACACAGCCTTACAATCCAGATATATTTACACACAACCTTACAATCCAGATATATTTACACCCAAACTTACAATCCAGATATATTTACACACAACCTTACAATGTAGATATATTAAAACGCAGCCTTACAATCCAGATATATTTACACACAACCTTACAATCCAAATATATTTACACACAGCCTTACAATCCATATATATTTACACACAGCCTTACAATCCAGATATATTTACACACAGCCTTACAATTAGATATACTTACACACAACCTTACAATCCATATATATTTACACACTGCCTTACAATCCAGATATATTTACACACAACCTTACAATTCAGATATATTTACTCACAGCCTTACAATCCAGATATATTTCCACACAGCCTTACAATCCAGATATATTTACACACAACCTTACAATCCAGATATGTTTACACCCAGCCTTACAACCCAGATATATTTACACACAACCTTACAAATCCAGATATATTTACACACAACCTTACAATCCAGATATGTTTACACCCAGCCTTACAATCCTGATATATTTACACACAACCTTATAATCCAGATATATTTACACACAACCTTACAATCCAGATATATTTACACACAGCCTTACAATCCATATATATTTACACGCAGCCTTACAATCCAGATATACTGACACACAGCCTTACAATCCAGATATATTTACACACAACCTTACAATCCAGATATATTTACACGCAACCTTACAATCAGATATATTTACACACAACCTTACAATCCGCATATATTTACACGCAGCCTTACAATCCAGATATACTGACACACAGCCTTACAATCCATGTATATTTACACACAACCTTACATTCCAAATATATTTATACACAGCCTTACAATCCATATATATTTACACGCAGCCTTACAATCCAGATATATTTACACACAACCTTACAATCCAAATGTATTTACACACAGCCTTACAATCCAGATATATTTACACGCAGCCTTACAATCAGATATATTTACACACAACCTTACAATCCAGATATATTTACACACTGTCTTACAATCCAGATATATTTACACACAACCTTACAATCCATATATATTTACACACAACCTTACAATCCATATATATTTACACACAACCTTAAAATCCATATATATTTACACACAGCCTTACAATCCAGATATATTTACACACAACCTTACAATCCAGATATATTTACACACAACCTTACAATCAGATATACTTACACACAACCTTACAATCCATATATATTTACACACTGCCTTACAATCCAGATATATTAACACACAACCTTACAATTCAGATATATTTACTCACAGCCTTACAATCCAGATATATTTACACACAGCCTTACAATCCAGATATATTTACACACAACCTTACAATCCAGATATGTTTACACCCAGCCTTACAATCCATATATATTTACACGCAGCCTTACAATCTAGATATACTGACACACAGCCTTACAATCAGATATATTTACACACAGCCTTACAATCCACATATATTTACTCGCAGCCTTACAATCAGATATATTTACACACAGCCTTACAATCCAGATATATTTACACACAACCTTACAATCCAGATATATTTACACACAACCTTACAATCGAGATATATTTACACACAACCTTACAAGCCAGATATATTTACTCGCAGCCTTACAATCCATCTATATTTACACACAGCCTTACAATCCAGATATATTTACACACAACCTTACAATCCAGATATATTTACACACAGCCTTCCAATCCAGATATATTTACACACAACCTTACAATCCTGATATATTTACACACAGCCTTCCAATCCAGATATATTTACACACAACCTTACAATCAGATATATTTACACACAACCTTACAATCCAGATATATTTACACACAGCCTTACAATCCAGATATATTTACACACAACCTTACAATCTAGATATATTTACACATGGCCTTACAATCCAGATATATTTACACACAACCTTACAATCGAGATATATTTACACACAGCCTTACAATCCAGATATATTTACTCGCAGCCTTACAATCCAGATATATTTACACACAGCCTTACAATCCAGATATATTTACACACAACCTTACAATCCTGATATATTTACACACAGCCTTCCAATCCAGATATATTTACACACAACCTTACAATCCAGATATATTTACACGCAGCCTTACAATCCATCTATATTTACACACAGCCTTACAATCCAGATATATTTACACACAACCTTACAATCCAGATATATTTACACACAGCCTTACAATCCAGATATATTTACACACAACCGTACAATCAGATATATTTACACACAACCTTACAATCCAGATATATTTACACGCAGTCTTACAATCCAGATATATTTACACACAGCCTTACAATCCAGATATATTTACACACAACCTTACGATCCAGATATATTTACACGCAACCTTACAATCCAGATATATTTACACACAGCCTTACAATCAGATATATTTACACACAGCCTTACAATCAGATATATTTACACACATCCTTACAATCCAGATTTGTACTTTGATTACCGCTGACTGAAATACCGATTCAGTCAGAAATGCCATTTATACACTCACTGCTTTTGTCCAATAGTTTGTATGCACATATACAGTCATATCAGCAATAGCATGTACTCTTAGTGTCAGCGTGTACAGCCGTGCACGACGTGTAGACGCAGCCTCGCATTCTGTGGTAGTCAACCTGTAGGTAAATACTGTCTGTGTGGCTCGGTGTTAAACAAACAGTGACATGGGCGATTCCAGACCCGTTCCCTTCATGCAGGTCGACGGCCGTTTGTTTCTTGTCAGGCTGAACACGTGGGGTCCACGTCTGTCACTACAACTCACAGAATAGAGTGACCTCCCCTAGGCGTGCCAGGATCCTACGTTATATAACCGTGGGTTCTATTCCTATATATCACTGTCTGTGATGATTGGTTTGTCTGTACTAAGGTTGTAAGTTCAACTAAAGTGACTTCAAGATTAAAATCGATCAAATCTTTCCACACGCAATGACAGTGACTTAACTGAAACTCTAAATTTGGTCATTCTGGACCTACACCAAACATCTCGGGAGAACCCGGGGACGATTACGACGAACATCACATAATGTTTTAGTGTGGAAGTCACAGTTAGTTTCAGGTATTCTCGTGTATTAAATATACATTTGATATCTTGGTGTCTTAATAACCTATTTTGTGAAATCTGTAGCGTCTCTCGTGACTGTTATCGTATAACCGCCAGTACGGCTGCTCTGGTTGCATGTAACCTGTCCATGTTTGTACCATTCTGCAAATGTCGGTGATCAAATAGCGAATAAATCATCTGAACTCCAGCAAGGGTTTAACCAGTAATTCACCTGGACTAACGCCCTGTAGATGACCTTGAGTCGACGTGTGTCGCCTACAGCTGATATAATCTGGGTGTGGTTGTACTGAGTATAATAATGATTGTTTATGTCAGCTTGCACTAATAACACGCACATTCTGATGGTCTTGACGATACATGACTGTGTGGATAGCACTAGGTGCTCTGGTAATATGTGTGTCTGTCATCTCTGCAGACTCATATTGTCATAGGATCCGCCGATGGAAGGTTCGAATCCCAGGTCACGATACCTGGGCCCACTTGCACGG